GATCAAATGAATGACTAAATCGGAGCAAAACTGCGCTGAACAATAGCGCTGTCGATCGAATGAATGGGTCGTAAATGATAATTGACCGCCGTTGAAGTCGGTGGTACGTACGGTATATAATGAGATTCGAAACAGAGAGAGAGAGAGAGAGAGAGAGAGAAAGACCAAAAGAAAAAGAGTTCTCTTAAAACTTATAATCGGTATCTGTGATAATGTATTCCGCATGAATTAAACAGATATCTCATCAATTTTTATAAGGTGTATTCTCTTATTTTTGTAAAAACATTTTTACGACACGCATACTTTTTTTTATACACACGCGCGCGCGCGCGGTTTTGCATTCTCATTAAATAGCGAGACGGCGAGTTGAATTAATTAAATTCTCGTCGGATCTCGAGATGATCGTATTAAATTGGACGAGACAACGAGGGACGCGTCTCGGGCGAATCACACTGAAACAATGTGCCTTGATTTCTCTCTGTGCACAATTTTTTTAACATGGGAAATTTATCTTTTACACAAATTATATACATATATATATATATATATATATATATATATAGTCTATATATATATATATATATATATAGTCTATATATATATATATATATATATAGTCTATATATATATATATATATATATAGACGAGAGATCGTGATGGGAAGAGACGAAGTAAGGAACTCATCGGTAGCCTCGAGAGACGAGAGAAAGTGCATGATTCGTGTGACGCTTGTTTGTATAAGAACGTAGGAACGACGTTTGATTGTGCGACGTCCTCTACAAAATCTCCATAGAATTCTCTTACCGATGTATCCTAATCACCGCGTACTTTTTGTTACACAATTACGAACATTAAATACATACAAGCAAAATGTTTTTGTAAACGTATAAAATACTTGTTAAATAAAAATGTTTTTATAATAATTAAATATATTTATTGTACTTAATAATTTATTTTCCGCTTGTGTGTTTTTTTTTTGCATTTTATAGTAATAAGTTTTTTCTGAATTGAATTATGCAATTAGCTGAATTATATAAATTCAAAACTATGCTTTTAAATTCTACCGAGACCACAGATTTTCCGTTCCTCTTTTTTTCGTCTCCCTCTTAAACGTATGAAATATATTCGTAAATAAAAATTCTCTCTAATAATAATAACATATTTATTTATATGCATTCAATAACTTGTCTTCCATTTATTTTTGTTTTTATAATTTGCCACAAGCATTTTCTGTGGATTACGCAATTAACTAGAGTTACGAATGCTTCTCACAAAACTGTCCTTTTGTATTTCACTCAGACGGTCCGCCGAGAGAGGTTTTCCGTTCATTACTTTTGCTTGTCAAGATAAATACTTGTCCACAATGTACACACATATACAATGAGGGAAATTGCCGGAGCAAAAAGGATCACAGTTTCATAATTTCCACAATGCTTTCTCGTTCCGCTTCCACGGAATGAAAAATATACACCACTCTCTAATCTCTTGATACACTTAACAGATAATTCCGCCTGCTGGCTGTAAGGGGGAAAACATTAACGCATTCATTAACACACGTAACTTCGCATGCTTGACACATATTTTTCTGTACAATAATATTTTATGTTGATCGATGGAGTGCGTGATTTATGTTTTAGCGAGACTGATTAAAAAAAAAAAAGAAAAAAAAGACCACACAAAAAAGAACGAAGCTTTGCAACACGTATAGCGGTGTTTAAAACGTAATTTATGCAACCAAGTCGTTACCACACACAAAGATATTCCACGTAGAGGTAACAGTTGTATTTACAGCTGCAGTCACGACAAGAATAAGCGACAATAGCGGCGGCCCGAAGCGGTAAACTTTCTATCTGTAACAACACGATTGTCTGTAAAGAGAGTAAAAAAAAGTGTGCGGTCGCGCGTACACACACGTGACTTTTCCATGAGCTTTTGATTAGCGCGAAAAAAAAACTCACACGGATAGACGCGGGGAAGAAAAAGGCGACGGAAGAATAAAACAGATACGAGAAAACCTATTAGGATCCATTATAGTATAGAATAATAATGGATATCTTAGATATAGCGAACAACGTGAACGGTGTACAAAACCGTTTGTCTGTTAAAAGCAACAGTTGTGCAACGTTTTATCGTTTTTGCCTTAAGGGTAGAAGTTCATACATCATTCCGACTATATTTTCGAGGAGAAAGTCACATTAAGCTACCCGATAGAAAGTAAATCGCTCCAAAAAAATGCAAATAATATCATGTATCTAACTCGTAACGTAAATAAAACGCCATTATGAGCGTTTAAAAGAAAGAACTGAAAGAGAGAACTGGAAAATAGAAAACCGATCTCGTCTCACGTGTCGCGAGAATCGAAATAAAAACTACTCGATGTTTATTGACATAATTAATTTAAGAAATTTCTTTTTTGGACTGTAAATACGGCGAGAAAGGCGCGAAAAACAAAATTGCAAAATAAATATTCTCGAGATTTCATTTTACACGCCTCCAAAGTGACTGCGCACATTTCCGTGCGCAAATAAGTGAGAAAAGTTTTTGTTGTTCAAAGACAGGATCTTTTTGAGAGACGGCTAATCGCGTTACGTCGAAGAGGTAACGTAGCGTATTTGCTAGCGGAGCGTAAAAGCGTCTCGACTTTGCGATTATACGGCTGAAAGAGATTTACCGCTCGGTCATAACTTATCCGGTTTAATTATGCTCGACTTTACGGTTCGACCAAATACCACATCGCGTTGCTGTACAACACAAGTATCGCAAGATATTAATCATCACGAATTAATTACAACAGATACACACGTCTCAGTATACAATTTTATCTCACAATTAAATGTACTTTTAATGTCAAATCGCGAGCGTCATGAATCTTGAGATCGATCGCGCTCCGATTTCAAACCCGGTGAGCAAAAAAGAAGATAAAATTCTATCTTCGATTTCTATAGTTAGAATAAAATTCCTTTTATTTTATGTTAATACATTTCTACGTAAATAATGATATTATAAGAGAATTGATTCCAGGCACACAGGCAACTTATATAAAAAAAAAAAAGATACTTAAAATAGATATTAAAAAGTAAATATTTTTAAATACGTATTTGTACTATTTTAACATTCCCTTATTTCGTACGACATTTAATACTATAAAAAGTAAGACCACACAAAAGAAAAACAATACAACAATAGCGAAAATTATTGACGGTCATTTTCTCTTGTGCTATCCTTGTGCGTAAAAAGTCTTCAATAATTGTCCATTAAGCATCTTATTATTTACTGAATATTACCGAATAAACATATATTGCGCAAGAAAAGCGTATGTCACTACAATTATATTCGGACGTGTGCGTTAATAATTATACAGAGACCAACTGCCATTATTAACCCTAATGTACTTGCATTATAATTGTCCTTCCACCTTCGGAGAAATGACACAAGTTTAATTCGAGAAAAAATATTATAGAAATATCTGTGTGGGTTATGACTTGGGTATAATTCAGGACGTCGACCCGGTTAAATCCAGAGAATTCCGTATCTTTAGTTTCTATCGCGAAACCGGGATTTACAACTTTCCGGATATATTGTGAAAGTTTCTGATTTATGATCAAATAAGATTTTTTTTTAAGACTCATTTTCTTCATATTTGAATCATAAAATGTTAAAAATACATATAGACAGAAAACACACGACGACATTCAAAAAGTTCCAACTTTAAAAAATTTCGTCTCCGAAATGCTCACGTATATATATATTTTGTAGTTTTGAAAGATACCAAAAATCGTAGAAATTGTAAGTTTAATCGGAGGAACGTGAAACTACCGAGCGCAGAGGCAACGCAAAACGAGCACGTCTGACCAATTAGCGACATATACTACTTGAATCCTTGGTCTATGAACAGAGGGTTTTTCTTAAGTGACTAATAATCGCTGTGAAAAAGTGGAGATTTTCAAATATAACTTTTATGTTTTTACTGTGTTTTCTTTTTACACCGCAGATTATTTAATCGTGATAACGCGTCAGCGAACATATTTCCATTTAATGAAAATAAAAATGATAAATGTAGTTCCAGCATTTCAGAAACAGGAGATAAATGAATAAATACGGGACATTATTTCGTTGTTTATAGTTTACTCGATAACATCTATTTCGTAGATGTTATCAAGTAAAGAATCAAACATTAATATACAACGTAAATATCAAACAAATAAAAGATTAACAATCCGGAAAAAGTCATTATATGTAAACAAGTTTTTTTTCATTCGTTTTATAAATAACCTAATATAAATGTGATGTAAATAAGATGTTAATGAATATACGTTTTTTTTATGAAACAAAATTACTTTATCCGTTAAAACGACGGAAATCTTGACAGTTGCAAATTGTTCGATCTTTCCTCATTCTTTGAATCTAAAACAAATCTAAAGAAACAACAATTTGTTACGTAAATTTGTTTGAAACTCCTCCGTCTCTCTTCCTTTCTCTCTTCTCAGTTCGTAATGACTTTTATACAAAAGAAAAACACGTGTGTGTGTGTGTTTAATTAAATAAGAGGATTACTTCAGTTGATGGTTCTGAAGTTCAGCAGACTTCCTAATTTACTAACTTCCTAACAAGTGAATGATGGGGTACTGTTCAACTATTAGAAAGTTACTTTTACATGCTACTCCGGAACACTTGGCTGTTCTCGTGACAAGCGTTAACTCATACCAATCGTCGTCTCCTGCGTAACGTATCTATCGATGAACCCGTCAGAGCTCTTCTGTTAAGAGATCAGCGCGGTTGCTTCCGGTGAAAGAACAATTTTCACCATTTTTCCGAACAAAGGTTATTTCTTCAATTGCGATAAAAACTACTTAGCACTCTCTCCCTCTGCTTCTCTGAGATGCTCACAACAATTTCAATGCAATCTTTAAAATCTACTTCAAGAAGAGAATTTTTAATTTATTTTTTTTTTGTTTCACAATCAGCAAGAGTGAAAAACTAAAATTGTGCAACTTCTTACCACGACCAACCAACTGTCACCATTTCTGTGTGTCAGCCTTTTCCTCTGCCTTCGCTTCCCGTAGAATCGCGTGCTTTTTTTCCGCGCACGCCGCGGATCTCTTCGTTGTTCCGCTTTCGGCGCGGCGGTACGAAAACTGAAAAACTCCGCCGGGCAAAAAATTTGCCGCGTGTGACTCGCTCTCTTTCTCTCTCTCTCTCTCTCTCTCTCTTTGTCTCTCTCTCTTTCACTCGAGTCTTTATTTTATCTCGTGTTAAAAACCAGTGCCGTGCGGTGCCGTGTAATGAATAACATCAAGAGAGATCGTAACGCGTGTATCTCTCGGACGACTCTTCGACGAATACTGAGGCCCGTGAGCGAACGTCGTGATAGCCTCCTCTTCGTACAACCACGCGGCAAGTGAAAGCGAGAGGTGCCGCAGCGTCGAGCGGGAATATACCGGCACGATCAGGTAAGAGTGGAAGAGAGAGAGAGAGAGAGAAAAAGGAGAGAGAGACAAACGACTCGCAGACACGTCAAAAGCACTGCACCGAGCAAGACCGAAGATGCGCGCAGACACGGCTGATGAACAAGGAAGAGACGAGGCGCGGTTCGGCGTACGTCAAAGTTGTGCGGCAGTGAGAGCGAGAAAGGGCAAGCGTTGATGCATCGCACGCCTGACAAGAAACGACGATGAAACACGAACGAGCCCAAGAAGCAGTTTCGGCGTGGGAGGGTGTAATAGGTAGAGTTCTACCTGGATGTGCATGCAAACCGCCGTATTCATACGGCAGCCGATGCGGAAGATAATAGCTCGGTGGTTCCTATTACATTTACTTTATGCTGGTTGTAAAACGGAGGCGATAACGAAGATTATCGTACGTGTGTTGTCGGCAGCTACATCGGTTCCATGTAATCGACCCCTTTATAAAATACAGGGTAGAATCTGAATAATGCAGTTCCTAATCGGACATTTGTGAATAAGAAATAGAATTTTGTAAATGCGAACGCGCGTGCGGCGAGACAGAAATATCGCAAGCGGAAATTCGTGATGAATTTTTCGTCTTCGCAAAAGATGCAAAATAGACAATTTTGCCAACGTATTTTTCGCGCAAAATTTGTTTGTTTCTCCGATCTCTCTAACGTGACACTCGATGTTTCGATCTGTGAGGATTCAGTCATTAGTAAAGTGAAAAAAAAATAACGTTAATTAAATAACTAAATGTCTTACGGTAGAGGATCACAGAAATAAAAATTTATTTTGCGTGAAAAACAAAACTCGGCATTTGGCCTCTTTTCGTCCTCTTTTTAAATTGAATTTAACTTATGTTATTTGTTACTGTATTTCACAGAAAGAAGCATTCCCAATGACAACTGCACAGCCTCATGATGATAATTTATCTATCGGAAAGCGCTTAGACGGCGTTAAGTGTCTAATTTGTTTCTTAATTTCGGAATCTCCGATGTTTCACAAGACGTCAAACCTTCGAAGTCACGTGGAGATTTAAAATCTTCTGCTTGCGTAACATCGATGAGAATGTGACGTGCTTCTCCGCACACACATCTTGGAAACGGCTACATACCGATCGATTGATGCCTAATTTCTTCGTTTTTTCTTCTTATTCCGAGAGAACGTCAGAATAAAGTGACAAGTTGATGGCGGGCACACCGTGCAATTTTCTCGAGGATGAATCACACAATGGAAGATCACAAAAATTCTCGGAAAACGACGATGAGCAAAATGTAATACAATAAGCGAACAGATATGCTGTAGTTACTAAAGTAGCGTAAAATGCCGCGCGAAGAAAATCGATCGACATTCGCGCGAGAAATCGGGGAATGTCGGACGGGCGGAAATATATTATAATCGTTCATTTTATGTTTCTTTTGCGACAATGTTGCGGAACTCTCAGAACGTTGACACTGTCTCATTGTATGAGCGAATGTATTTCTAACTGTTATACTAATCCTTTCGATAGCTACGTTTAACAGACCGTGAAATAATAAACCGCCGAAGACTTTTAATGTGTTAATTGTGGACATTTCTATTACAGAGAGAGAGAGAGAGAAATAGAAAATACAAACGCTTATATTGTAAACTGGATTATTAATTACCTCGATTTTAGCTGATTTATGATTAACTTATGAGAAAATCAAAAGGTATAAATTATACAGAATAGATATTATTAATTTATTGTAATTATGTATATTATAATGTATTAATAAAAATATATATATATATATTATCATATACTATATAGAATATAATTACATATATTATATTAATTATACGTATAAAAAGCTAACATGCGTACAGTAGATGTAATAAATTCTTTTATAAATTACGAAATTATTTGTTGATTCATTATATTACGTTGTTTTTTTTTACGCTCATACAACAAACGCAGATGATTTACGTGTTTGTTTAACCTTTAATTAATTCGAACGCTTTTCTTTCTCTTCCCTTCTCGCTCGATTAAAAATTACCAAACCTTGGTCAAACAAGGACACAGAGACAGTAACTGGGACACATGTCTTCGACCAATCGTGGTATTGGATTGGAGATGCGGTGTCACGTTATGACCTTGACCTTTGAAGGAGGGAAGAGAAGTCGAAAAATACTCACGAGCAAACCCGCAATTGCGAAGAGAGATCTATCTCTGTAGAAATCGAATGGATCACGACGAAAATACGGTCGGTTAAAAAAGATGAAGAGAGAACTGAAAAAACCAAATACATTATTTAATGCGGGAAGAGAGTCAAGGTGGAAAAGTTGAAAATTGAAAGTTTAAAACTCGAATTTTTTATAAATATGTAAATCGATACTTATTATTATTGTGAGTGTGTGTGTGTGTGTGTGGAAATAAGATGAATTTATATGAAAATTAAGACGGATTACAGAGAGGAAGAGATACACTGAATTAATCTTAGTGAAATTCGAAATTCACTCGTTTCCTTTTAAAATCTATATATTCAACTTTCTATTTACAAAGTCCACAATCTTAAAAAATAATAAAATAATATAATTCGGAAACGTACTAAGCGATACAAATTTTGGCGCATCTCTACAAAGTTGCGTGTAACATGAGACAGTATTTACTCCCGCGTGTCTTAAATCTTAAAATTTAAGAAAGAAACATTTCGAGCAAACGTCTGTCTTATTTCATCTAACGTCGTCGGAATTCAAACTCCGGCCGATCAAAAAAACCCACAGTCGTCATTTCGCATTATTACTTTCACATGTGTTGAGACGAGACACCGAACACACCGAGTGCTCATTTATGTGACGCGGAGAAGCGCAGTTACGAAATTTCTTTTACTTTTCTTGAGAATATGTAGTAGAGGAGAGGGGGAGGAGGTTGAGAAGAAAGGGAAAGGAATTTTCTTTAATCGTCACACACACCGCACACGCTTCGCTTCGAACGTTTCGTGTTTTCGGTTGCTTCTACAAGCGTTGTGTCTGTCCTATCTGGAATGACCATCGTATTAAACGTTAACTCGATTTTTATGTGTCAGTGTGTCACACAAACCCGCATCGACAACAGTGAGAGTGACTACGAGAGTATTACTCAATAACTACACGGCGATCCATATGTGACGAGCATGCGAGCGTGCGTGATATTATTTCGTATCGCGCGTCGTTCCTTCTGATCGTAATTTTCATCCCTCTTTCGAGTTACGATCGACGTATCGAGCTGCTTGCGATCGAGAAATGATTTAATGCGAGATTCGTCGTTATTCGAAGCGCGACGTGCTAACAATCACCGTCATTATCACAGCACCATCGCTCGGGCCGAGCCGAGCGAAAGTTGCGGATTTAAATTGATCGAGCTGCGAGCGCAATTTTCTGTTGAATGGTATACAACGCTTCCTGGTTCCACGGCTTCTTTAATTAATAGCTACACATCTACAACGCGATAGATAATTAAATGGTGTTGTGTTCTGTCGATTAGCGCGAAACGACTTTGGCACATACCTGACAAGAGAGATATATGTTTTTTTTTCTTATTACGATCGATTTTAATGCATTATTAATCGCGTGAATTAATTAATTGCAAGTAATTGAGGGAATACATTATGTTAATAATATGTGTTCAAAGATATATTTGACGTTTAAAAAGTAAAAGTCTAGTAATAAACATAAAACGCATGTATGTGTGTGTGTGGGCGCGATGCAGAATTAACAAAATGTATGAAAATTGTTTTCGAGAACTGATCTACCGTTTCGTCTTCCCACTCGATTCTTGAATCACAACGTGGTACTTTCAGAGAGACAAGCTCTCGATGGTATATAATATCTACGTGAGGTGTGTCACGAGACTACTAGAAACCGGCTCAATCAGATATGTCACACGAACGACAGTCCGTGAATGTTTCCCGTCCAATTTACTTTCATCGGGTGGCGGCGAGTAGCGGACAGGAATTCTGCGAAAGTTCGCATGTATACTCGTTGAATTATCATTTTTTTTTAGCGTTGCACAGTAATTGCTTAAATCTTTCTTCGGCCAAATAGAAGATTTGAGAGAGAGAGAGAGAGTGAGAGTCACCGCATTGCAATGTTTTTTCAAATCTCACCGATATCTTAAAACTGATTATTTGTTTAAAAAGTGAAATTTCTTTAAATTTTTTCTTCATCTTTGAATTTATATTCGTTACGAAAGATTTTTTATTTTAGATAAAAAAATACTCTCTCATGTCATTCGAAAAGAAGAAATATACGCTACATTTTTTTCTTGATTAAAACGTGCGAGGTTCGTCAGATTCTACTGAGAATTGTGCGGATTCGTATAAACTTAGTCGATTATTTATTGAATCTGAAATATCGACAATAAGTCGTAATAATTAACGACTCTTTTAAATTTATTTCAAGAATCTACTTGTTTTCTGTGTACACACACGCACACACGTACACTACGAATTTCTCAGTCCGCATACAGAAGGATACAAAAAAGGAACGGCAGAAGGTTACGGATCATCGCCAAAAAAAAGAAAAAATGCGATGTTAAAACGGGGCAATAGATCTTCCGAGCGAAATCTTGCGTGCCAGGAAGGAGAGGTTTTTAACATATTTAATGCACGTTGTTGCAAAATCGTACAGCGACAGAGAGATGTATCGAATATTAAAAGATAGGAAAAAGTTTAGTCGCCGCGGCAACGTTGTTAAGTCCGATTGCCACAGAACGAAGGAGGTCAATATCTTCTCGAAGGAATTCAATTCCAAGTTAGTCAAGGACTGACATAAGTTCGCGCGTGACAAGGACACGCGTCTTTCTTTTCGATTCGTAAACATTTTTTTCACTAACTCTCTATCTCTTTCTCTTTCTCTCTCTCTCTCTCTCTCTCCGCGCGATCTCACATCAAACGCATGTATAAATATGCATTAGAGAGAGAGAAAGAGAGAGGATGT